AAGTTTTACCAAACAGGCTCTAGATTTCTCTTTAATTCGACTAAAAATGTCCCGTGACTCTTCATTAGGATTCTAAAACATGTTGCATAATTGTAATTATCCACGAGTAACGTAAACAACTTACTTCATCACATCAAATGAACTTTTAGAGCATAGTTTTTTAAAATTTGTGATTATTTAACCTCTGCACGACCATAAGCTTGAATCAGGGAAAAAAATATAGAAGTTGTTAAAATTTGGGAGTGGGATTTAGGTAATCGACTGATTTGACAAGAAGCTGATCCAACGAGGATGATAATAGTGACTTTTTGTTTAAATTTTGACCATCGAGATTATAGAAAATAGAGTCAATTCATATGAATATCACAAGAAAAAGTGAGAATCAATAAAAGAAAACAAATTATAAACTAACATCGCAGAATTAAAACATGAAAATGCTTGAAAGTTGAAGTTACGAACCGGATTTTCCAAAGAAACGGTAAAATGTTTTGAAATGTGTGTTTTAGCCCTGGCTCTCTCTGAAAAAGGGAAAAGAAGAAAAAACTTTATATCATCTGCCCATGCAGGGCTCGAACCTGCGACCTTCGCTTTGTTACGACGACTCTGCAACCAACTGAGCTAATAGGCCTCTTGTCATATTTTTTTTCTTATTTATTTATATAATCTATTGTAGAATCTTTTTTAATCCATTTTTTTTATAGGTCGTATAAATAAATTAATAACGTGTCGCGTCGTTGGGTGATTAACAATAATTCATAAACGGGGTTGCGAACTTCTGCTGGATAAGAAATCGAGCTATCGAAATCTAGGGTTTCCATTCCAAATTTTCTACAGGTACTCTTCTTTTAATAACTTTCTGATTTTCTTATGGATATATAAATTGATTCTTGGTTGATTTCAGCGTTGTTTTGGTTTGATTGTGAAACTGGTCGTATATATTTCCCTTTTAACTTTTTATTGGCTCAGAGATCACGTTCCTTCTGTTTGAGCTATGATTTGTTAGAATAATCTACTTTTTTTGGGCATGATTGCAAATAACCTTACCCATATATTTGTCAAGAATTATTATACTAGGTTAATCGGTCCTTTTTCTAAAAATAAGTTGATTTCGCCCAATATGAATCTGGCATTTTTATTTGTGTAGTGTAGTGCTAAATATGTTGGTAAGGTGTTTGATATTTGCAGGATGATGGAACTGGTAAGTTAACAACTGATGAGAGCAACATATTCACGAGTTACATTAGATTGATCTCATGAACAATTTTTTAGATTGTATATTAGTGAGGGCTTTCGTAATTAGTTAAAAAGTTTCATATGTTCAATTATGTGGTGATCTTGTGAACCTTGAACAAAGCACTAAATGGGAAAGGGAAAATGTTGAAACCTTAGCAAGCCCAAGGTTAAATGTGAAGATTAAAGTAGAGAACGGATTTATTACCCTCTGTGAGTATGTTACTGATGTCTGAGGTGTCTCCAATAAAATTGTAAGAGTAATTGCTTCTTGGAAGTAAGCTACTAAAAAGAGGGGTTATTTCCTTTCCTTGTTTCTGAGGGGTGCTTTAATTGAGGATGCAGTTTTCGCTTACAAGTAGTTAAAACTTAGAACCTTTGTTGGCTCTGCAGGCAAATAAATGGATAGCCATGAAGAATACAACCCTCCATCATGTGTTCACTTCGCGGAGGATACTTCCGAGACCAACCATTTCATGAGCCAGCAAATAGTCCAAAGTGAAGAATCTGTAAATAAATTATCACTCCAGAGCAAAGGGAAAGAAAGTGATGAAAGAGTGTGCTTTCAAAGCCAACAAAATAAGCCTGTATCATTTTCTTCTGAGATGCTTCAGGATGAATCTAGGAGCCAAGATGTGGCCAAAGTTGAGGAACTTGAGTATTTGTCTGAAAAGGTGGGACGCCCAATAAATGAAAATGGTGTCTTACCGTGCTTCCAGATGGCTACGCCTACAGAGAACAGTGATAAACAATGTGAATCTTCCTGGCCTGAGAAGACCACCAAGAATATGGGCACAGAAATAGCTAACATGGAAGACTGTGAGACTGAGTCACCTCAAGATACAGAAGCTGAGATTGACCATAAGAGAGAGCTGAATACATCGCATTCTAAGCAAGGAAAGTACTTTTATTATGATTCACCGCATTATGAAGAAACTGGAATTTGGATTCCTGTCTCGATTCCTCCTATGTCAGAAAGTGACCACGAAGAGTGGACCAGGGGTTTCTGTACAAACGGCGGATACGCTCCTGAAGGAGATGCAAGTTGGGGTCAATGCAATGGGGAAGATAAAGAAATGACTATGTGGGATGTGGTAGTGGAGATGTTACTTGTGGCCAGAGGAAAGGTCAGTTCTTTTGCTTCAGCTGATATTGGGAAAATTTCATGGATATCTAACTGCGTAATTGAGCAAGCATGGAAGGAGATGGCTCAAACTCTCACGGAGGCTAATTTCAGTAATGCCCAAGAACTTCTTGAAGCTGAACCACCCAAATGGCTTCCAGATAGTGCAGCTTCTTCCTGTATGCTGTGTAGTGTGCGGTTTCACCCAATAATGTGCACCAGGCATCATTGTCGGTTTTGTGGAGGAGTCTTTTGTGGTGATTGTACCCGTGGACGGAGCTTATTGCCAGAAAAATTTCGTGCTGGGAATCCACAACGAGTGTGTGATGTATGTTGTGTGCGTCTTGAGACTGTGCAGCCGTACTTAATGAATCAAGTAAGCCGTGCTGCACAGTTGGCAACGCATGATCTGACAGACCTAAGCACTCTAAGATCCTGGATAAATTTTCCGTGGGGTCAGACGATGGAATATGAAATTTACAAGGCCACAAACACAATCTGCTGTTATAGTAAGGTCTGAAATCAACTCAAATTTCTAACATTCTCTCTCTCTTTAACACTTCCTATTTAAGTCACGAAAACAAATTGATGGAGTATCGATTTTGTGGACCTGCTATCTTCATGTTACCTTTTACGTAGAAAATTATTAATACAGCAAGGCATCAATTAGCTATATGAGTTCTTTCTCCCAAGTGAAAGCTCCAGAGTCAAACTTCCATCTGCTTATAATTTTAAGTGGGAAAGAAATTCCCCTGGCATTTTTCCCTACAAAAAGCACATATAAATGTTATTATGAATCTCCTAATTGATTGTTGACTTCTATATATGTTGTGCAATATATGATTTCTCAGGTTGGTTCCTTGAGACCCGAGAGAAGAATTCCAGAAGCTATTTTACAAAATGCAAAAGGCCTTGCAATACTTACGGTTGTGAAAGTTGGAATGGTGGTGACATATAACATTGGAACAGGTCTGGTGGTTGCTCGTAGGGATGATGGCACATGGTCTGCACCATCTGCCATTGCTTCCTTTGGTGTAGGCTGGGGTGCTCAGGTAAAGCGGTTTAAGTTTTACTACTTGAGTTCTGTTTAAAAGAGTTAGAAGATTTACTAGTCTTCATCAAACAATACATTGTTTGCTTCTGTCTCCCAAAATTTTCTTTTTAGGGATGTCAATGCTCAAGCCCAATTTTGGTAGGGACTAAACAAATAGGAAGTGAGATCTCAGGATTTAATGGCTTTCTGCGCCCCTCAACTTACTCATAACAGACTGCTTTCTACAACAAATAAACAAGCAGCAGCTAACAGCTTATCACTAACAGAACGTAGGAGCTTTTACCTGTTGATGTCTTTTTTAGCTTTTATATTCCTTTTGCAGGCTGGGGGAGAGTTTACTGATTTTATAGTTGTATTAAGAACAAGTGATGCTGTAAAAACCTTCAGCAGTGATGTGCATCTCTCGGTTGGAGCTGGTTTGAGTGCAGCTATAGGGATCATAGGACGTACTGCAGAAGCTGATATGAGAGCTGGTTCCAATGGCTACACTGCTTGTTATACGTACAGCTGTAGTAAAGGTAATTTTTTTCATTTAGTTTAACCTTCACACCTCATAAATTTTATTTGTGAATTGTTTCGTTTTTTCATTCTGATTCGAGGATGAGGAATTAGTCATGGCGTTTGATGTCTTGGTGACAAATTATAGCAGTGTATATTTTGTGACGCATTTTGCAATATCATCTTTATTGCCATATAGGTGCATTTATTGGATGCTCTTTAGAAGGTAGTGTGGTCACAACTCGTGCACGGGAAAATTCCAGATTCTATGGTAGCCAGTCGATAAATGCATCAGATATTCTTCTTAGTTCATTGCCTCGACCACCTGCTGCAGCCAATCTTTACCGAGCCCTCGGAGACTTGTACCAGAAGCTACAAGGGTGACAGCACAATCGGGGGACGTCTGCCATCGAACACGATGTAGATTTCGGTTGCATTGCAGGATTCTTTTGTTGTACATAGCCAGATGTTGTACAGAATTGACAGGCAAATTGCTTTGGATAAATGAAAGGTGATATGTATATTAGGAATTGATGATGGGGAGAAAGTGTCCTCATGATCCATCAGATTCAATTGATCGCAAATCAGTGAAAATTTAAATGTCAGTGTATATAAGCGACTCTAAATTGAGCATAATATTAATGATAATTAGAATTTGGGCTCCAATTTGATGTTTAATAGAACCAACCATGATTTAATACATTTGTTGTGTTGCTCGTCTTGTCAAACTCGCGAGTTTACTTCTAATTGTGTCGTGCTCATTTAAGTTCGTTTGAGTTAATAGTGTCATAAATGTTAAATGGAGTCAAAAGCGCTATAGTACTCTAATTTGAGATTACTTGAAATTAACCAGAAAACACCCTCAAAATCTAAGCCTGCTAATTATAAAAATTTCTTAGGGGCGGTTCTCTTTGTGTTTGAGTTTTGTGTTTTGAGTTTTGAATTCATTTTGTGTTTTGTGTTTTGACTGTCCATTTTGAGATTATTGAAAATGTGTTCTTTTTGTCATTTTGAAAAACTCAAAACTCAAAAATCCGTTCTCTTTTAAACCCATTTTCTTTCTCTCTCTCCCATCCGTCTCGCTTCTCTCCCGTCTCTCTCTCCGGTCCGTCTCTCTTCCTACCGTCTCTCTTCCTCTTCTTGAAAACGAATCCTGCTCCCTTACGCTGTGCCCAAATCACACGACCCATTTTCTTGCGTGCGTGCTGTGTGTGGAGGTGAGGGGAAGAGGACGACTGGAAAATGGAGGTGAGGGGAAGGTGGCAGTGCATTCGAAAATTGGAGCTATTGCTGAATTAATTGTTGCAATTGACACGTACCCATGGTTTTGTGTGCCTGCTGAAGACTCGATTGGGGCCAATTTTATGATTCAACGTTGTGGGGATGAGGAATTGAAGCAGACAGATCCGGAAAAAATGTTGGTCCGTATGGCGGGGGTTGTATTTTTGGGATGCCGATTGTGGCCTTTTTGGTGGCATTTTGGTTGTGGCGGTGGGGGTATTTCTAGGATGCCGATTTTGACTATGGTGGTGAGAGTTTCTGGTGGTGCTTTTGGTGGNGGTGAGAGTTTCTGGTGGTGCTTTTGGTGGTGGAGGTGCAGTGGTGGTTGGAGATTTCTGGTGGAAATTTTGGCTGAAGAATGAACAGTGGCGAAAATTGTTTTCTATGTTTTGGGTGGGTTTGGCTTTCATCGTTTTGGTGTTTTCTGTACAAATCTTTTTTTCATTTTCAAAAATGTATTTTCGAAAATAGGAAAGAGAACACGTTTTCACTGTTTTGAAAAACCGAAAACAGAAAACGATTCGAAAAGGCCAAAGAGAACGGCACCTTAACTTTTTGTATTTTTGGAACGGGATGGGATGGTTGTGGGGCAAAGTATTGTAACTTCGATAACCATATCAGTGCATAAAGAACACTAGACAAAAGTAGTTTACGATCATCAAAGATAAATTCCAATACAAAAAGAAAAACATAACCACCCACCAGTAAGCAGGTGTTACAGTGCAACATTTAGAAAGAATGGAAAGAATTGCAAGAAAAATATACGAAGGAAAATCAGCAAAAAGAAATAAAAAGGTGCAGAGGTAACAACACTGGCGATTTATATTCCAATCTATTGTTTTCTTCTTATGTGGGGGGGGAAAAGAAAGGGGAAAAAAAGGCTCCTACTCTGTCTCTCAATGAACCAGAATACTACCATATTCAGGAAGGTTGACACGAGATAGGTAATTGAAGTTTGCAAAGAGGCAGATCCATATTAGTGAACACTTGGATACTTTTCCTTTTTTTCTTTGCACCTTTTTATCTGCAATGCACCAAAACAAATAATTTGTTAGAAATAATCTTTTATTTCCTTTCCTAACAATTAGAAGAAAGATGATCAATTACCTGGTCGTAGAGTTCCCAAGAGTAAGCTCGAGATCATCGGGAACACAATCATCGTGGATTCTCTCTCCTTCCCATGGTTTCACTAGTCCTTTGGTATTGCTGCCAAAGGCAAACTCGGCTGAAATTGCATCTGACATGGGAACATCAGCCATTTGATCAAAACCCGCAGCCACAGCAGGAGAGCACGTTCCACTCTGCCCTGGGGTCCACATACGAGACCCCCCATTTGACAATGGCTCTTTGAACCCAAATGGATTTGGGGGGACAAGGCTAAATGTGGGAGATGAAGGCCCTTCTTGGGGAGTTTGAACACCAGAAAGCCATCCTGAATCAGGTGGAGTTTGACGACCAGGACTTGGTGGGGTAGAAGAGGGTAGAAAGGCATAGTGTTGCCCAGCCCATGCTGAACCAGCTGTTGGATCGTCCCAGTTACCCGTCATTCTAGGAGTGCGGGCAGTAGGCGAGCTCAATGGTGGGGTGACTGGAGCACTTATAGAACCCCCAGGGATGTAGATATGGTGGTGTAGCTTGGATGAAGCAGGTGAGGACCCAGATGATAGATGTTTGAGCCACGGGATAAGGGAGTTAGGATCAGCAGTATTATTGGCATTAGCAGCATAATAGGATGAAACGGGGCTGGGAATGGAAGATGAAGCAGGGCTTGGGTTAAGAGATGCTCCTGGGCTTGGTTGATATGAAGTGCAAGGACTTACTGTAGCTGAACCACCAATAATATTCATGCGTTCCATAGGCTTGCATCCCTGCAGAAGAGGAGAAACTATTTAACAGCAATCAGAACATAAGCAGTAAACATCTAAGATTTTAAACACAAACGTTTCATTATTTTCTAGAAGTCACTAGATTATGGCTTCACATAAAGTTTACGTTGCAATAATCTAACAACACATACAATCGGAAGGTCTTAAAATTGAACTACAATAGCAATACACAAAGAATAGTTCTCAGTAAATCAAAACTTCAGTCGATCAATCAATTCCTAATAAAAATGTATCGAAATGCCCCAACACATTCAAAAAAACAATTATGTTTTCCTTATAAGCAATTAGGCAAAAGTATAAGCCAGAAACTTCTCCCGTAAACATAAAACTCAAAAAGATCTAAAATTGTGTAGAATTCAAGCATCTTGTACACTATCTTTACCACTCTCCTCTGTCTTCAAGAGAGCTTACAGTATGTCTCAAGCATGATCATAATATCTGACATCAGTTTTTAATAACTGTAATGAGCACAGAAGGTCACCATTTTTCTGCTTGGTCTCGCCTGCAATTGATGTATAGTTGGGAGCCCAAAACTGATCTACCTTCTAGTATTCACCACTAGCCCAATGGTTTCTATCACCCTGACACTTCAGCTTGAGAAAGGATAGGGAGCCTCAGCATTCACCGAGTTCACTTAAATCATCGTACATCACTCGGCATTTCTAATGACTTCAGTGGATGTATAATCACTAGAATTAGCTGCCACGACCGTAATTATATCATAAACTAAATTCATCGCACACTATGTTACAACTAGAATATATGAAATTCTAGCATGACCTTCATCTATGCCAACTAGAAGATACAGTGTTTTCGTCTAAAAGCCAGATCATGCTATTCGTACACGCCCGTGTACCCGGCCCCACGCCCCCCACACACAATGGGAGGGCCCGACCCATTATTTTATTCACATCGGGCCCCCCTCATTGTGAGGGGGGCAGTGGGGTCGTGTATTACACGCCCGGGTACAAATGGCTTTTCCCAAAAGCCAATGAGCATATAAAAATAAACTTGTTATTTATAATGCAACAAACGTGCAAGATTTCTATGCATTAGATGCAAAGAAATGACAAGAACAGTTGTGAATGCCCAATTACAGCTTGCTGCTGACGTGTGTAGAGTGATGGAACATAATTGCTCGTGCATTGACAACACAACTGCTCTTAGAATTACAACACAACAAATAACGCAACAGCCTCAAGTGTCTCGTTACAACCCGTGTCACTATTCAAATAAACATTAAACCTACCTCCTTTTCATGAGTAACATAGGTCAAGCATGATAGTTTGCAGTTGCCTAACATTTCTGGAAGTACCCTAAATCAGAACCTTCCTTTCAACATACACATTTAAACAATAAGGGATCGGAAGCACAGGTCCTCGCATCAAGGGTTAAACTTGGTAGTGGTGGGCTGCTGGCAATGAGTCCTTGGCTTGTTATGTGAGTATTAACACGTGCAAAATTCGACCAACTTTTGGTATAAATTTGCGAGAGGATGACGGTGATTGGTGCACTCCCCTCACACTGGTCTAACATAATGGTTGAGTCAACGAGGGAGTAAAATTACTGAACACCACAAAAGTACCAATGCCATGTTTGGCAACGTGAACCACAGATCTTCACAAGCTTTAACGAGGAGTAATAAAGAGAACAAGCAGGGACATATTTGTCTAAGAATGTCCGGACGAGCTGATCGGTATTCAGAGGTTTGTCCGATATAAACTGCCTTATAATTGGAGCTACATGGGCAGGGAGGGCCCTGCGCGTGTCTTTTGTCAAAACTAAATATAAATATTAGAATAATGTTATTTGCAATTGCTCACTGCGACAGTCGTCATATGTAGCATACACATGTCAAATGTCACATTTGATGCATTATGTATTAATGTGATAAAAAAACTACCACATTAATGCATCAAATACACACTTAAAATATGTGTGACATATAGGACGACTGACGGACTATAAGTAGCATTACTCTAAACATTAATATAAAAAATTGACTGTCCAAAAGGTTAAAGGATTAGAATCTTTTGAGAGTCGTGTAAATTCACATTCAGAAATGATCTAGAGTAGGAGACTATAGTACATATCTCCACATCCAGATAAATCTGCACCGTTCACTAGTACAAAACCCTCACATGCGTTAAGAGAGAGACAGCAGTTGACAACCGATCAAATCAAACAGCACTCCTAACTTTTTTTTTTATCCCCTAGTTACGGGTTTGATTCCTCCTATTCCTATTTTGCGACGGATGCGTACAGTGTACCATAGCATTCAGCTCACACGGTCACACAGCGAATTCCGAGACTACGACTGTGCAGCAAAGCACCTGCACAACCTGGTCATCATCTTATCCCCCGCGGTAACGTGACACCTCAAGCGCATTTTAGACTTATCCGGTAACCAAATATCACGATTTCTTAAAATCCATCAGGGACACCTAAAGTCAATCGAGATTTTTCCAGTAGCCAAAGATCTACACTACCAGCACACGATTCCCATCCTGCACGTCGCATGCTAACCTGCGCCTACCTTGATAAAGAAATTATTTCAAATATAAGCGTACCTTTCTATAAGTGGTTCCGTCTTCTTCAACGATCCAGCCAGCTTCGTTACAGAGAGCTTTCAGGACCTCGTTGTTATCACAGTGCTTGGGGAGCTTGTAATTTCCGTACATCCTCAGACCAGCGAAGATCTTAGCGGCGATCGCTCTCCGCCGCCTCTCTCTCCGCTTGTTGTTCTCCCTTTCCTTCCATGTTGGCAGCCTCGTTCCCGACGTCATCTAAATAAGTCGCTTTGACTCCCACCGGCGAAAGTGAATACTCAGCGAGTCAACCGGTTGGAGAGAAAAATATCCGGTTTGACTGGAGTGGACCGGGATTTATTGTGAAGGGAAGTGGGAGAGTTGATAGAAATGAAGAGAGAAGAAAGTGAGAGCTAGATGTGCAGGAGAGAATAGTAATAGTTTGGTCTTGGAGATGGAGGAAATTACGAGAATACCACTGCCGGATTTGAGGGGTTAATTTATGTATCACATGTTCCTGAAAATGCGGGTGGTGCACGTGTTCAGGCTTTTTATAGGATGGGGGTGAGGGTGGGGGCTGGTTATAATTCGAGAAATTATTTTGTTTTATTGTGCTGGCAAAATCAGTTCGTTTAATTGAAAAAATTGCAATTTTTATAGATGGTCCACGTGGACTAAAACAATTTTTTTGTAAATATAAATGTCATTGTTCATCGACTTATATATTATAATTAAAAAAGTCGCAATGCACAATGGTAACTTAAAAGGATCAACTTTCGAAGATATTGTCAGACTAGATTTGTTGGTCGATAAATGAGATGGTAGATGATTGTCATGGAGTTTACGCATGATCTTCTGCTCAGATTCTTCGAGCACAATTATTATTTACTTCTCCAGCTTAATCAGGCAGCTCAAAATATATGCTGTCCTTCTAGGCTCGAAATTTACACAAACTGGCACTTTATTTGAATGTTGCACCACAAAGTGGAAATTCATAATACAAAGAGAAGGTTTCCGGGAAACAATTTCTATGGTCTTTTCGGAGAATATACTACTCGACATTGGTGAAGTTTCATGTCTGGAATGGAGGTTGATGAATCTATAAGATGTTCAGATGGTCACACGAGATTTTATATACAACCAAAGGTTGATGTTGGGTCCAAGACTTCTGGGATTGACATGAATTCTGAGTGTTCTTCCTCCAGAGGCTGCTGCTGCAGACGAAAAGGCAGTTGGGATGGCTACCTTATGTGAATGGATTATGGAGGTCAATAATGTGTTCTCGGAACAATTTCTATCTGAAAATCCTGGTTCTATCGATTCATTTGAAGTCCAATGTATGAAAAAACATGGAAAGCAGAAAAAGGAAAACGGAACAGTTGGGACATCTTACTCCAGCAGAGAGAACTTGACAAGAGAATGAGAGGTGTGTGGGGGCATTTCTTAAGCCTAGGATGATATCATTCTAACCCTGTTTAGTAATCATAATCAACCCGAAACTTGTACTCTGATTCTTTCCATGCCTCGACTTTGTAAGTTTTTTGTGTGAAAGATAAAAGTAGCACTTATTATTCCTATAAAAGAACAATATTTTATATTCTGGTTGCAATATTACATTTGCACGACTAAACAATTATTTATCATAAATCAGGTGATCGTTTCCTATTTCAAGATCTATAAACTCCTGGTTCAGCTCAAATAGCCACACCTGCTGGAAGACCTTGATTATGAGATCGTGATATTTATCACAGTTTAACGTTAGATAACAAGCCAAGAGTTCTTCAAGCTCGTCTGGCCGTCTGATCCCTTTCTCTCTGATCATCTCAACCATTGAATCTCTGAAGTCCTGTTCTGGTGCAAAGGAGCATTTTACCACAGCAAAATTATCAAAGACTGTACTGCCTCCAACTCCTTTCTCCCTCGTCTTCTTTTTGTATTTCGTTCTTGCTTTCTTGATGTCTTCAAGAGCTCTAATTTTGCATTCTGTTCTAGGAGAACACACTTTTAGTTTCTGCTTCGTTCTTGTAGGAGACTCTTTACTTATGTAAGCAGACTTCCTATGGGGCTCGTTATGTGAGATTATATCCTTAATCTTCTTGTCTTCACATTGTTGTCTGCCCAAATTGAAGTCTTCTTGACAAGTTGCATTACTTTCCTCCAAATTCAGATCATCAAATGTGCAGTCTTCTTCAAATTTTCTTGCACTGGAGCTTGGAAAGAAGATCCCCTGCTGCTCTCTTGAATTAGAGGCTGCTGGTTTCACATAATCCTTCTCTTTCATATGAACTACCCTACTCTCCATTGAAATTTCAAATATATCCTTTTCAACTGTCTTCAACGACTTCTCCTCATCAGGCCGTCTTTCATTTTCTGCTCCTTTTTTTTCCAAGTTTTTGGACTTTCTATCCTTCTTAGCTTTTCTCCTTGGTGTTTTGTATGTAGCTTTCCCATTTTCCTTTTTGCTCCTCGAGTATTGATTTTCCCACATATTTCTCATCTCGTGCTGTATTTCTTTCATCTTCCTTGTGTCCAGAGCCATGTCGTTGAACTGCTGATTGTCTTGTGTTGTCATTTCTGTTGGAAATCCAAGCTCATCATCAGAGTAATACTTAACAGAATTCATTCCATGTGAACTGTTCCTAGCTTTGATTCTTTCTTCCCCAAACAAAAGCTTCCAATAAACATCATCGTCCATATTACAGAATCTACCTTCCTTCCAACTGGCACATTCATATGATCTCGAAGATGGAGATTTCAGCTTACTTTTCTGCTTCTTTTCTGCTGAATTAGGCTCAAAACTAACACCATTCTGCTTGAACTTAACAAGCCAAGAAACTGGAAAAACACGAGTAATCAAAGCATGACAATGAGTTGAAGGTGATGCAGATTTCTTCCTCCCCCACTTCATCTTTAAGTCTGAATTACTGTTTTCAATTCTGAGATTTTGAGTGGAAAAGTGAAGACACAATAATGGAAGATAGTAGAAGGAGGACTAGAAGCAGACATTTAGAGGGCAGTTAGGGTGGTTCGTATTCGGGTAGTTTGTGACTAGTAATTTCAAAAGAAAGACCCGCCTTAGATATTGTGACCAACTTTACCCACTTTCTTGTCTGAAAATTGCTTTGTAGAATGGCTGTTCGTAGTTGAGGGGACCAATTTTTTTTATTTCCTTTGATCCTCCAAGTAAAGTAATAAACCCAATTTTCCTATTACAAATAAGGGGAAGATTGCAGTTGCTAAAGCTATCCAGGCTCTCACCTACATTATTTTCCCAGAAAAATGGTGCTAGTTTTCAACCTATGGACGTTGTCATTGACCTATTTTTTCTCGGTAGCACGCTTTTTAACCTTTCAATTTCTAGCATCATTGGTAATCAGTGGACGGCTCACATTACTATTAAAAAGTCAGTTTTATTTATGTCAAAAACCTAACTAAAAACAAATGGAAGAAAGGAAAAAAGAAAAAGAAAAAAGCCAGTAAGTTGGGGGGATGGTGGTGAAGGGTTCCACTTTTTTTCTTTTTCTTTTTCTTTTCTTCTCTTTCTAACCTCTCTTTTGTTTATTTTTTATTCTAATTTCCATTTTTATCTTTCTTCTTTCTTACTTTTGTATTTGTGTATATCCAGTTCACCTTCTAAAGTTATACTCAATACGTTATATGTGTCTTGTTGACGACTCATCCATAAACCGATTACTGGTACAAATAACATAAAGAAATGTAACCAACGTTTATTGGAAAAAGCAACCCAAAAGATTTGGGACCAAAAGCGATTAGCGGTGATCATTGAATAAGTTTCTTTTAACTTGAGTTGGGTTAAAATCCCAATTCATTGGGCCTTTCAATGCAATCAAATAGAAAGCCCAAAGCGCGCCATATTCTAGGAGCCCAAACTATGTGATTGAATAAATCATCATCTACCTGTTGCGGCCAAGTAAAGATTCCTTTCATTAGAGGCTAACGATACTAAAAAGAGGAAATTACACAAAATCAGAATTTTAAAGATTCAATTTCAAAAATCAAATTAAATGTTTCAATTTTCAAAAATCAGATATTTTATTTTAAATATTAAACATTAATTGTACAATTTTCATCTCAAACCATAATCAATTTCGTTCCAATTTTCCTCATCCTTCTCTATTCTCTCTGTCACTCTCTCTTCTCACCGTCACTCTTTCTTCTCCACTCTCCTCCCTCTCCGCCGACAGCCCAGCCTCCACGAGACAGAGGGAGCAACTCTTAAGCTTGTGTCGAACGACAGCGACAAGACTAGGAGAAATTTTCAGTTGCTCCTTTAGAGAATAATGGTGTTCATAAGCTTTCAATGTCTAGGCTCTCTCTGCGGAGTTATTCGCAAAGGAAGAAATCTTCAGATTCAATCTCTACAGATCCACACAAGAAAAGATGTCATCGACATTCAGCAGCGATGAAACGACACCGTTCTTTGGCTTCCTAGGCGCCGCGGCTGCCCTAGTTTTTTCTTGTATGGGTGCGACATGTGGCACGGGGAAGAGTAGCGTCGGTGTGGAATCTATGGGTGTGATGCGATCGGAGCTGGTGATGAAATCGATAGTTCCAGTTGTTATGGTTGGTGTTTTGGGTATTTATGGATTGATTATTGCTGTCATCATCAATACTGGAATCAACCCAAAGGCCAAGTCATACTATTGTTTGATGGCTATGCTCACCTTTCTTCTGGCTTCGCTTGTGGCCTTGCTGGCCTTTCTGCTAAGCCAATGCACAACAGCCAAAGCTCTTTGTTGGAATGATTCTTATTTTCATTTTGCTAAAGCACTAGCTCTTTATGGTCTTAATTTTTGCAGGCCTTTTTTGGTGCATCAAAGTCTATGTGGCTAGGGCTGGGCAAAATGTCCGAACCGATTCGAGCGGGTTTTTTTAAATGAAATACCCGAACGGATATCCCAATCGAGAACCAAATGGTTTGGTTCGGTTCTCGGTTCTAGACCCAGAACCGAATGAGAACCGAATTTTTTTTTATATTGGATAAATCAATTTCTTTTATTTTTTCTAAATAAATTAATAGTTTTTTTCTTATTAAATCTTATTAGTTGAACAATTTAGAGTTTATTTGTGTTTGTTAGTTGTGTTTTTTTCAATTTTTTCTTGTATAGTCTCTTAGTAGTTAGTATGGAAA